GTTAAAAATGAGGACATGGGCCAGGCACAATGGCTCATGCCTGTAATCCCAGCACTTAAGGAGACCGAGGCCAGTGGATCACCTGAGGTCAGAACTTTGAGACCAGCCTGTTCAGCATGGTTAAACTGTATCCCTACTAAAAATACAAAAATTAGCCAGGCGTACTGATGCGCACCTGTAATCCCAGCTACTTGGGAGGCTGAGGCACAAGAATAGCTTGAATCCAGGGGGCAGAGGTTACAGTCAGCTGAGATTTCGCCACTGCACTCCAGGGCCTGGGCGACAGAGCAAGACTGTCTCAACAACAAAAAGACATGGTTAGGAATCTGCAGACAAGAACTTAAAGAAGACTAAGCAAGGTGAATGGACTGCTGTTTAAACATGCCACAGATAGTTCCGCAAGATTCTACCAAATCTGCATACCAAAAAGTAGTAAAATAGTATGATGTGGGAAGTGCTCAAGGCATCTGTTTTGCCATTTGTCACTTAAGACAGATGGGTGTAATGTTTGTGTATTTGAGGAAGGGGTTCCTACCTGAACAAATCTGCAATGTAGATATAAAAAATTTGGGTAAAAGATGGTGGTCAGGAGAATGTTTATGTTTCCAAGAAAAATAGAACCTGTTAGGTAGCTTCAGAGGTTAGGTATCCTTGCAGATTAAAAAAAAAAAAAAAAGACACACAGAACAAGCCAACTAAATGTTTTCATGTCTGGATTGAAGGTCTAGAATTGTGAGGGTCATTTTGTTACCATAGGAGAGCCAGCCTAAAGATGGCAAAGCAAGAAGAACATATATCCTCAAGGATATCACTGAATTGCTAATTTAACCGACTCTGAGGGTGCTTTCTTTCTGTTTTAAATAAATGTCCTTATTGTTTAAGCCACTTCATTCAAGGTTTTCTGACAACATAAACTGAATACCCTCATACAAATGTCCCATAGGTACCTCAACAGGTCCAGGTGAACTCATTATCATCTCTCAAAAATGTCTTCTTTTTCAAGTACTCTGGTCAATGACAGCACCAACTCCAAAAAGCTAAAAATCCCGAAATGTCCATGTTCCAATCTCTTGAATTTGTGAATGATACCTTTATGGCTTTGCAGATGGGATGAATTACGTTAGAATGGGGGAGATTATCCCAGATGACCCAGGTGGGCCCTAAATACAGTCACAAGTATCCTCATGCAAGGAAGGCAAATGGAGACTTGACACACACAGGAGAAGGTGAAAGGCGGGGAAGAGGAGGTGTCCTGACAATGTGAAGATTGTAGTGATGAATAATATGGTCACAAGATGAATGCCTGCAGCCCTCACAAGCTGGAAGAGGCAAGGAACAGGATCTCCCCTAGATCTTTTGGGCACTTAGATCACTTGGCTAAGATTATAGGGCTACTAACAGCAACTTATATCTTGGTGGTAAACTTTCTCACTATTTTATAGTCTCTATTATGCTTTTAGATACTTTAGGTTGCTATCCCTCCCTCCCTACTCTGCAAAATGAACTCTTTGTCCTAAACTGATTTTGACTCATCATTTTCCAAATATACCATACATATTTCCACTTCCCCAGCTCTAGTCCTTTTTTGGAATTCCCTCCTCACTGATCTCAACAGATCAAGTTCTACTTTATTTTGTTTTCCCTTCTAACCTAAATGCCAGCAAAGCCTTCCATTTTTCTTTCTTTCTTTTTGAGATAGAATCTGGTTCTTCGCCCAGGCTGGAGTGCAGTGGTATGATGTTGGCTCACTGTAACCTTTGCCTCCCAGGTTCAAGCAATTCTCATGCCTCAGCCTTCTGAGTAGCTGGGATTACAGGCGCCTGCCACCACACCCGGCTAACTTTTGTATTTTTAGTAGAGATGGAGTTTCGCCATGTTGGTCAGGCTGGTCTCGAACTCCTGACCTTGTGATCCGCCCCCCTCAGCCTCCCAAAATGCTGGGATTACAGGTGTGAGCCACTGCGGCTGGCCAGCCTTCCATTTTTACGTAACTTTCAAATGTTCTTTCAAATATATTCTGTGGATCTTAAAATCTTAATGAAACTAAAGATGAGAAAAATAAAGATTAGAGAAAATATGGCCTAACAAGGACTCAAATTTAGAACCTCTGACTTTAATTAAATCCTATCCTCATTTTAATATTAAACCAAGCTGTCTTTCTCTACACTGAACTCCGGCAGTAGTTCTATTTGGCTCACTGATCCCGCGTTTGACATCGTATCAATTTAGGTTTACCAGAGTAGACGCTCTATCTCTACAATGATTATTCCAATATATTTATGGAATAAATCACATCTGTACTCCCAGCATAGGTTCTTTAAAAATCACTTTGAGTGCTCTCCTGAGATATAATTAATGTACAAGAAACCGCATAGTGTACAATTTGATGAGTTATGACATATATATCATCACCACCATCAAGATAAGGAATATTGCCATGATTCCTGTAAGTTTCTTTGCAATCTCACCTTCCTGTCCTTGCCAGAAATTATCAATGTGTTTTTCACTTTAGTAGCTGCATTTTCTAGAATTTTATATAAATGGGATTACATAGTATGTACTCTTTTTGTTTGATTTCTTTCATTGGACATAATAATTCTGAGATTCATCAATGCTGTTGGGCCTACGGATTTTTGTTCTTTTTATGCTGAATACTATTCCACCGCATGGATGTAACATCATCTGTTTGTCATTTAATTGTTGGTAGACTTGAGCTGTTTGCAGTTGGGGCTATTACAAATAAAGCCGTTATGCACATCTGTGTACAAGTATTTATGTGGACAAACCAACACATGTTAATTATTTCTGTTTCTGTACCATTTATGTGTTATATTCTTAATATTGCTTATTATACTGCAGTGATTCCATTAAAAAAAGTCACTATTCTATCCATCAGTACAATATTTTACATACAGTAAGTGATCAGTAAATAATTTACAGATTTTCCTCTCCCATGGGCCTACATGCGACTTGACAGAAAAGGTTGAGCCCTGTCTGTACGCTATAACTGCCTAAGAGAGTGTGTATACTGGTATGCAACAAAAACATAAGAAAAAAATTAAAAATTTAAAAATAAATAAAAATCGCAGAATAAATGTTCTTGATTTATGGTGCTTATTTTTGGGATAAGCATATTTTTTTTTATGTTCAATCACATTATTATTAAGAGCTTAATTGCAATTAATAAACAAAATATATAAATTAGTATTTTAAGAGTGTAACATATACGACAAACGTTTTGTAGAAAACCTGTTAAAACAATTGATTTAAGAATGGAAGAACTACAGCTCAAAGTAGAAACTTCACATTAAACTTACATGGCCAATTATATACATGTACTCAAACTAGTAAAAATTACAACTCAACAACCCTACCAAAAGTTATTAAGATGCTTCTCACTATTAACAATCTTTTTTCTTTACAAATACAGCAGTACCTCATATTTTTTATTTTGCTCTAAACTTGTCACTCTTACCAATCTAAGTAAATGTCTATATTTTCCCATGACACAAACCAAGTTTTTAGATTGGATTCACATTAGAACTCGTATTTGGGAACATGCTTTTTCTGTTTCTGAAGACTAATGAAGGTGTTTCGTGATTTTTCTTTGACACTAGTTTACTTCCCCTAAGTGTTTTTTTAAGTTTTCAGGGAGAATTTCAAATGGATTACTTTGTCTGAGTATAAAAAGATAATTTTAGGACTGGCACAGTGGCACATGCCTATAATCTCAGCACTTTAGGAGGCCAGGGCAGGAAGCTCCTTTGAGCTTAGGAGTTTAAGACCAGCCTGGGCAACACGGAGAGACCCTGTCGCTACTAAAAATAAAATTAGCGAAGTGTGCTGCTGTGTGCCTGTAGTCCCAGCTACACAAGAGGCTGAGGCAGAAGGATCACTTGAGCCTAAGTGGTTGAGACTACAATGAGCTGTGATTTCACCACTGTACTCCAGCTTGGATGACAGAACAAGATCTTGTACAAAAAAAAAGACCATTCGGCCAGGCATGGGGCTCATGCATATAATCCCAGCACTTTGGGGGGCCAAGATGGGTGGATCACCTGAGGTCAGGAGTTTGCGACCAGTCTAGCCAACATGGTGAAACCCCATCTCTACTAAAAATTTAAAAAATTAGCTGGGCATGGTGGTACATGCCTGTAATCTCAGCTACTTGGGAGGCTGAGGCAGGAGTTTCAGCTGAACCCGCGATGCAGAGGTTGCAATGAGCCGAGGCAACTTCAGCCTGAGCAACAAGAGCAAAACTCTGCCTC